AAAGTTATCTTACAGTCAACTCTAATCTCTGTGTTTAACTTAGAGCGTTATTTCTGTGATTTTTTTTTTACTGTGATATAAGAACAGAAAAAAAATTCTTTTTATTTTGCTTTCAATTTATAATGGAGCAAATGCCTAATATAGAATCCAATATATAATAAGTGCTCTATAAATATTTGTTGTAGGAATAAAGATAAAAGTTATAAAGGATGTTAAATAAATTAAATCATTTAATTAATAATTTAAATAAACTCAACCCTTACTTGTTTGAATGAGAGATACAAAGATACAGAGATATGTTTATGTATCAACTTATAAACATCTATGTACATACATATCATTTAATATAATTTTATCTTAGTTAATGTGAAATGAAATTAGAAAAATAATCCTTGATTTTGCAGCCAATAATGGACTCTCACAAAATTAATTCAAATTCGGAAAATGAAAACAATGATAAACAACAATGTACTGGATATTGATGTATTCTGAGTTACCCTGCATTACTGAGCCTATTTTGCTATCACTTTCATTTTGGGTGACACTTATAATCCTTTAACATACACCAGCATAATGCATACTCTTTTGTGATTATGTTATCTAAATTTTAAATCCCAAATTTATAAATGTTTAATAGAAACATTTTTAATGCAAAACATCTAGTTATCAATTACTCTGGAAGAAAATGCAGGTGGTAATTTGCCAGAGGTAATTTTTTTCCCAAGGTTCTAGGGAATTTTTATAAACTATTTAAATGGAAATTTAAGGAATGAGCATGATAGAAGGAATGCAAAGAAAACTCTCTTAGATTAATTAGAAATCCAATGGAATATCATATACTTGCTTTCTAGACAGTAGGAAGGACAGAGAAAAATCGGCATGCTTGGCCTAGCTTTTAAGGGATATGCTTAGAATGACCATTAAGTAATATGTTTGGTCAAATTCAGTATTCCTTCTTCAGTGCCATGTGTGTCACAGACACCGACTTTCTTAAGCTTCTGAAAGCGGTCAATGAGACCGACTCCATTGGTATAAAGCTGAATTTTTATAGCCAGATATTATCTAGTGGTGAAGGATTTAATCCAACAGTGTGTCTGAGATGGTAACCCCATCTACTCTTTTTCTGAACCACTTCTAAAGTACCACAATTGCGGAAAAGAATTGGAAATAGTAAATGGAGTAATGTCCATAGCAAATCCCTGTGACACAGGAAAAGCTATTTACCAGCAAAATATGAAGAAAGAATGGTAAGAGAGGAGCTAATATGTTGAAAGGAAGGTGCTGAATAGTGTGTATAACAAATTCTTTGTCTATCACATACATACATTCATCTATTCAACAATTATAAGTTGAGCACCTACTGTGTCCTAGGCAATAAAGCTAAACAGATTAAGTGGCAAATTTAGTTTAATTATTAGTTGCCTAGTGAAGCCAGTTGGTTAGTAGATAACATAATAGAACAGAGTGCATTGCTGGCCATATAAAAGATTAATAAAGAATACATTTTAGAATATCTGAGGAAAGATTTCCTTATTAGGGACACTTATAAATGATTTATGTTTTATGAAATTAAGTAAAAATATGAGTAAAATTCAGAAATGTTGTTTCAGAATGTAGAAATTCTGTGTGCAGAAGCAAAGAGAAATAAAGGAGTGGTAGGTGATGAAACAAGTCTAATTATTGACTCTATTTCAGTAGTTGAAAGATGTTATTCACTCAGTCAAATGTATTAAAAGACCGGTTATGCAAATTCCCAACCTTGAATTGTATATTACTTCAGAGTTTTAAATTTAGTACGTAAGTTATCTTATATTTTCATTAGTATCAATGGGATGAAGAAGGATATTATTCTTACATTGCTAGTGAGATGTTCTTAGTAATGAAGTAATGACTTTCTGGGGTATTAAAATAGATATAAATTGACTTATTCATTAAGTAAGTAATTATTAAAGACAATTTACATGATAGTCACTCTTTTAGGTGCTAGAGATACAGAGCCATGAAGAATGCAATTTATCTACCCCACGGAACTTACATTATAGAAGAAGACTATATGCCTACATACAATTATACATAAGTACATGCTTATATTCTTCCACGACTAATTCATATAAATAAATACATGCATGCAAAAAATGTATATTGAATGGTGTTAGAGAAAAGGTAGAAGGGAATAAAGGATGTCAGGTAGTTGGATGAATTGGCTTCCCTGCTCAGGCTTTGTATCGGGTAATGCCTTATTGAAAACGAGAAGTGGGAACAGAGTCATGAAAGAGATAAGAGGAAGAGGCTAAGGGAATACAAAACACGAAGGTTCTGGAGCAGGAGCACCAGGAGTTCAGTGAGAAAGCTGGAGGAAGGAAGATGAGATTAATAAAATAGTCGAGGGTCAAGGCTTCTAAAAGGACTTGAAAATATTTGAAAGTTCAACAAAGGAAACTGTATCAAAGCCTTTCTGGGTACCATATATAATCACTTTCATTAATCTAGCAGAAAAGAACTCAATGTTTCATTAAATAAGTCCATTTTCTTAATGTCTTCCCTAAAGCAAGACAAAACAATCAGTATATATGGCTACTATTATTTAATTTTTAAAAATAATCTTATTAATTTAATGTGCCACTAGAGTTTATTTAAAAACCATCAAAAAGAGATTCATAGCTATGGATGGTCATCTGAGTTTGTGTGTTTATGGAAAGATGAGCAGTGATGGCAAATTTGAATTAAATTAATAGATTTCTTTCAATTTTGTGTCCTTTTGGCTTTTGTATTTTCGGTAAATATATGCATACATCATCAGAAATAAGACTTTAAGTAAGTAAAGTTGCTGAGTGAAATATTTTAAAAATATATTAGAACATGTTGCAGAATTATAAACTTTTAAAAATTTTATTTTAATTGATGGTTACAATACATTTTCCTTATTTTTGAAGCATTAATTGCTAAGACAATCTTATGTAGAATGCGAAAGTTCTTGTTTGGGTTAATTTAAAAAGTATCATTGATTTAATTGTAAATTGTTCCTATCCACTATTCATGAAATTTTCTCACCTTTTCCCATCACTCAACCACATATATATATATATAATTTATTATTAAGTTCACTTTAAAAACCCTAAATATTGGGCCAGCAGGTGGCTTGCTGGTTAAGGTGCTGGATCCTACATTACTGACTCTGCAGTTCGAAGTTCCCACACCTGAAAACACTTGGACACATATGTGTGTATGTCTGCCCATGTCCCAAACCCTGAGAGGATGGAGGAGAAGGGTAGAGAAAGGATTGTAGCATGGCCATCTCCCCTAGGGAATGATTTCTCATTTTCTCTCTCTCTCTGTTTCTGTCCGTCTCAGTCTCTCTCTGGTAAGCACACATGCCCTATGCAGGGGGAGTGGGGGGGAGACTAAGCTAAGCTAAATGCTATATGCTTATTTTTAAACATAACCCCACCATTTTAAAAAACAAATTCAAAGTCAATAATTGGTACAATTCGTGCATGAATTAGCCGTGGTTATCAGTACAAACTGCACATGCCATTTTATAATTATTATATGCACGTCTACATTTTAGAATGAAGAACCTGTGTTTTCTAGAGATGGCACCAAATTTTTTATGACAGTTCCTGTTAAGCAAGGGGGCCGTGGAGAGTTTCACCACATAGCTATGTTCTTTGTTCAGGTAAGTGCTGGCTTTGTTCTGTGGTTTGGTTTAATTGTAAACTTTCCACTAAATATCCAAATCTTGTTGCATTCTAAAAATGCTGTTGTTACCTGTGAGGTCCAGTTTTATATGCAGCTCTTAAGACATTATGGGAAGAAGACACTTACCTACAACCATCAATTCAAGCTGTACCTTCTCACAAAACAGCCTCAAAACTCAATAAAAACATAGTGAGCTACACATGTGTGCCATAAACTGAGGGCCTTGGGACATAGAATTTAATAAATGAAAAACACCCAACTTTCAAGGACCTGAGAACAATCTAGAGATTTTTTATTCTACAAATACATGTAACTTATTTCATACAAGTAACATTTCCAAGGTGTTCTAAACTTTTTAAATACTCAAAACAACCTAATTGTCCAACAAAAATTGAAAAGTTGAATAAATTAATGTAAACTCATATAAGCAAATTCAATGCAGATATAACAAGAAACAGTAAAACTATATTTTTAATGTCTGTCAGTCAATCTATGTTTCTTTTTTAAGAACTTTCTGTTAAAAAAGAGGAGAAAAGTTTTTTTCATTAAACTTCAAAAGAACATTAACGGTTTATATAACTTTATCTCTAAAAAAAATCAGTAGATTCACAATAAATGGTTTAAATGTGATAAAGTTAATGAGTAAATTTTAAATTAATTTCCAATAACAAACACTCTTTTTTTTTTTTTTTTTTAGACTTTTTTTGCTATAAGGTGCATGCGCTTGCCAGAAAGACAGAGAGAGACAGAGAGACAGAAAGTAAGAAATCATCCCCCAGGGGGTATGGCCACACTGCAATCCCTTCTCCTCCATTCTCCTCTAGGGATCTTGGGCATGCACGCACACACGCCCAGCGTGAGTTTAAGCCATTGGATCCAGGACTCGAATTGTGGTCGGCTACATGGGAGTCCAGCAACATAGCCATTACGCCAACTGCTGGTCGCTAATAACAAACACTCCTGATAAAATACCTTCAAAATCAAATAAATAAATGTCTTAGTATCACAGTTAAAATACTTTATACTGCTATGTCACTGTGATCAGATTGGAATCTTTATGAGAGTTTTACAAACTAGCCAAGAATAATTTCATATTTATAAAATATAGGGTAAATATAAATGTGGTAAAAGATCCTTAAACAAATTGGCTACTATTATATTTTTATGTTCTTCGAACTTTCAAGTATGTCTTGTGCACGGTCTCACTTATCACCATATTTGCATTATAACTTAAAGTTTTGAGTTTCAAAATTTTGTCACCAGTTAAAAATTTAAAACTTGTTCAAGATCTGTGCTATTAAAATAATTGACGTAATTTTAATTTTAATCAAGACTGAAATAAATAATTTGAAATGTATAATTTCCATGATAAAGATGTAGATTGGTTTTCATACCATATTATTAAGGTAGAAAGGTTATAGACTAATGATCCTATTTATGTTCTAAATAAATGTATGCATTCATATATGAATAAAATTTGGGATATTTCTACATCAAGTTATTAAAGTGATTATATAAACCATGTAGAGTTAAGAACCTTTTTTTTAAATATGAAGTGGAGGGAGCATCTCTAGAAAATTGAGGAGAATCAAAGATAAAAGAGAGAAGCAAAACATTTATGGGACACAAACATGGAAAATTATCTGTTGATGATAATGTGTAGGTTAATATACAGTGTGTTCATGCTGGGGGAAAATAAAAAAGAATAAAGTAGATTCCCTGTCACAAAGACAAGGGTCTAGTTTGTACCTACATTGCATGAAACTCACATTAAAGGTTAGCTCATTCATTAATGGGAAAAAATAAAGAAAATTGCTCTACTTGATAAACTTTTCTCACTAAGAGTATACTTTGTTGTTATAAATATTAGAAAAATATTTTGGCCAGGAAAAAAAATCACACTTTCCAAATAATTTAGTAGACTCTGGTATTTATTAAAATTTAAAATATCAATCTTTTATATTTAAGAGACAGTGTAAAAACATAGGTGGCAAATATTGCATAAAAATTGTGAACATTTATAAGATTTGTGGAAGAATAGAAAAAATATATAATACATCTTCACGTGTACAATTCTAGAAAGAAGACAATCTGTTCAACAAATTAGGGAGAGAAATAGTATCTTTATAAAATATGTTATTGGGTGTGGATATGATGTTGGTATGTAGACTGAGATATTTATGCATCTAACAAAGAAGATTTTAATAATCCTTAAGAAGAAATACCTTCTGTCTCCCAGTCAATCCAGCCTGACACAGTCTAATTCATTACTTCTGAAATATCCAGATAGAGCAGATGTGTTTACTTTGTTTCTCTTCTGTATGGAGATTTTTAACAAAACTGTCATTGAAGTAAAAAACATTTTGCTCTATTCTAGTCGTTGTTCATGAAAATTCTGGTTCACTTCACTGATAACCAAACATGACTACATGACAATTTATGGATATTTTGGCAATTAACTAAACTTTGTTTACTTTGTTAATGACTCAGAGGGAGGTCAGTGCTTGGTGAATACAAATTATACTTAAATTGGGATATGGTCACACACATAAACAGATTATTTTAGGAAAGTTTGAATCCTCTTGCTTCAATTTAATATTAGGTAACAAAATTGTTTTTTGATAAATTGGTTATGACTGCCTTTTTTTACACACACATGTGCATGCACACACACACACACACATATACGTACACAAAAAGAGATGAAAAATTCTAAAGTAAATAAACTGAAAGTAGAACTTTATAAAAATTTCCCATGGCCTCATCACTCCACATTCTCCCAATTTTAATCAATTGATGCATATATTTTCAATGCCTTTTTACATTAAAACATACAATTTTCCTTTAAAGATTGAAACGATAGCATAATATAGCTGTAACATTTAAAGAATAACTTATGAACATTTTCTCGTGTTATTTCATTGTATTTCTAAAAAATTCCAGAGCGAGCTATAGAGGGAGACAGAGAGAGAGAGAGAGCAGGGAAGTGAGAAGGCACTCCTCATGAGGGAACACCGTACCGCAATCCCATCCTTTCCATTTGTCCTTCCCTTTGGGGCATTGGGCCTGCCCACACATGTTGCCCATGTGTTTTTCAAGCTGCCCAGTCCTGGTCGCTGGTCATGTGGTATCTAGCCCCCTTAACTACCACCCCACCAGCTGGCCCTAAATTGTATTCCTAACGTTTGAGATTTTTCTTAAGTGTGATTTTAATAGTTACTCAGAAGCCCATCAAGTAGACATATACTGTATATAAATGATTCAGTTTAATTTATTATGGAGGGTTTTTTTTCTAGTTATTTGATATTAGAAGTGATTTTTTCTATTTATTATTATTACCACAAGAAATACATATCTAGATATTAACAGATTTCTGGATAAATATATGCATATGTTTTTTTCATTTAAGTTTTGCTATTCATATCAAATTGGCTCTCTGAAAAATAGCATAATAATCTACAGTTGAGACAGTATAATTTCCACCATTGATGACCTCATAGCCTTTGTTATTCCCGTGCCATGCTGCAATATTCCACTTACAACGGATGTGCACGGGAAGTGGCAGCTGTGAGGACCCAGGGACTTGGCAGCCACAGTCAGGAAAACCATCTTTGCAGTATTTCATACCTACCTATATTTGAGAGCTTTTGATTCACTTGGATTAGATTTGTCTGAAATATTTTACCAATTAAGTTTAGCAAATTTTGCAAACATTTGGATCCCCTATACAAAGAATAAAAAGCATTAACTAGAGGCCAAACTGTAAAATTAAGACTTTTGGGCTATTTTCATTAGAGAAAGTAATGGTTGTCATTATAAATATTTTTTCTTACTCATAGTAAAATTATTCTTGACAAAATAATTCTAAAATCTAAAAATAGGTGCCAGCCAGTGGCACAGCACCAAAATAACAAAATATGATGTTCTAGGAGGCAGATCCACATAGAAAGGTTTCAGTTCAAGTCCTGAGACTTCCGCCCATGCCCATGATCTGGGCTGGCTGAGGCTAGGGGTAGATTATGGCATCAACACTCTATTGTGGTGCTCTTTCTTTCTCTTTCTCTCACTGATGGGAAAAAAAAGGAAGCAAGAGAAAATGAAAGAAACTTTTTTTAAAAAAGAAAGATCTCATGTTTTTCTCTGTACTTCTCTGTTAAAGGTGATTGTAGCTTATGTATAATATTACACCCTGATGTTCTAAATTTAAATGTCTAATGCATATTTTCTCATAATGCATGAGAATTTTGAAACACAACTCTTTAGAAATATTTAGTTGACAGAATGTATATAAATAACCATGATTATTGTGCAATGTTTAATTTGGTGGCAATTTTTTACAACTCTAAAAAAAAATTATGTGAAGCTTTCTTTTCTTTTTTTTTGGAGAGGTTTTTGCTAGAGGGTGTGTGCGCTCGCCAGAAAGACAGAGAGGGACAGAGAGACAGAAAGTGAGAAATCACCCCCCAGGAGGGAGGCCATGCCTCAATCCCTTCTTCTTTATTCTCCTTTCAGGATCTTGGGCACACATGCACACACAGGTCCAGGACTCGAACTGCAGTCGACTACATGGGAGTCCAGCAACATAGCCATTATGCTAACTGCTGGTCCCACAAGTTATCTAAAGCTTTCTTATACTGTATATTATTTCTTTGGTATTGATTAACAGAACTGTGAACCCAGAGTTAAAAGTGAAATATTTCTGAGCCCTTATATACATATTTTCAGACTACTTTAAATATGTGATAGCACAATTTGTATTTTCTCTACCTTCATATATTCCTTTAATGAAAATATTATTCTGGAAATCTATATAGCTAAAGTAATAGTGTTTCTGGTTATATTGTATGATATACATATTAATATCAATGTATGTACTTCTTAAATGACATACTGATGGAGAACATTTGTATCTTAAATTGTAACACTTTTGACCACTTCGGATATTGTTTCGTTCCCCCCTCCCCCCCAATATCTGTT